AGTGTTTTGCAGTTAAAGGCCCCATTTTGTTTTCTGTCAAATGCCGCCTCCCTGCCATCTTCAATTGAGTACAGAAACTGTCACTTCATCGGTTGCTTTATCAGTCACATCAAGCTTGATGTCTGAATAAGAGAATAACTTACGGCTAGCCTGTGAATCGAGACAACTGTGACTGATTCCGAGTTGCCTTTGTCATTCTGCAAAATTTGTTCATGACTCATATGCATCACAAGTCAAACGGCTCACACCTTACTAACCGATGGCCGGGGAGTTGTGTTTGTCCTCCTGGCTGAAGCAGGATATAAGTCCATCAAAGCCCATCAAATAGGCAATGGTATTTATGTTTGTGTAAGGAAGTGTGTGTCCTCATCACCACATCGCCAGGAAATCCCCACAGGAGGCAGCTTGTGGCACCTCATCCCATTTCAGTGATAATGCCATCATTGTCTTTTTTAATAAGGGGTGGAAAAGAGCGATGCTCTGCTCTTATGGTTGAATTGCTGCCATAGTCAAACAAAGATGTCTTTGTCCACCACTAAGCAACAAACCTATTGTTCATTTTTCACTTCTTACCGTGTTCGTGGGAGGATTTAGGCATGGCAAAATGTTTATGAAACATTAACAGAGAGCAGGAGCATCATAGCAGTGGTTTTTCACAGCTCTAAACTGTAAAAAAAAAATCAAAAGTGTTTTTGAAATTACTCTAACACGTCAACAGTGGTGTTTGGTTTGTGTAGGTGTTTCAGTTCCTCATGGCGGAATGGCACATCACAACAGAGTGATCACAGTTTTTTCACATGGAAGTGGAGTTACTAAAGCAGACTTGAGAATGGATTCTACTTGTGTTCTTCTCCTTGGCAGAAAGGGCAAACTGACCCTGCGTCACCATTTTTTGAATACACTTCATACTTCCCAAAATGCAACCGGAGGTGTGAAGTCACTTCAGCTTCTGCATAACATTTTCGCTGAGCCAGCTGGAACAAAGAGTAAAGCCTGCAACTTGTTAAGTGGAAAGCCTTTGCTATGGAGTGACGGATTGCAGCCCATTTTGATTGTGCAAACATTGGCTTCCAGTTTTGTTTCTATAAATAATATGATTTTTTTTAACCCGCCCTAAAGGCCTTTACACACGTGACGATTAAACAATCAAACAACACGAAAATGCAATGTACTCGCCTGCAAATATTTAGCATCAAATCTAGTTGCAACACTTTTTCATTAAAAGGTTCTAATAGATTGCTGTAGGCAGATGACTAACTAATCAGTCATCCTATTCGCCCAGTATGGCAGTCTATCTGAGGTCAATTGATGCATAGCCTCAATACTGTAAGCTATTCTATTGAGTTTCCTTTTAGAGAAAAAATACTATAATATTTATGTTCTGTGTGAAAGTATTCATGACAAAAACAAAAAGGTGTAAATGCAAATGAATCAGACAAGTAACACACCTTAAGAATGAGACTTCGGATGCCCTCAAGGAGAGAATGACCGAAAGTGGGACCTGAAGGGTGGACTCGACTTGAGCAAAACGGACAGCGCCATGGATTTACAGAGAACACAGAGTAGTGTCTAGAGTGGCTTCATTTCAAGCATAGGCGTAGAGATAAAAGGGATTCATTCTACTAGATCTGTTGAGGCAGTTGACCAGCTAGAAGTCACTTGCACAATGATTTAGCATACATTCTCATGAGTTTCCCATAGCTAACAAGGCAAATAATGTCTGATGGAGGACCTGGCCAAGCCACTTGAATCACTGTTTTAGTCTCTAAACCCAGGCATCCATTTAATCTCTCAGGTAGGACTTCAAAATGATATGGTTGGTAAAGTGCACCATTAGACCATTATGCTTTTAAACATACTGCAGTAGTTCAAAATAGTTTTGCTGCAACAATAATGTACATTCTGTACATTTGACTGGCTGACACTGTTATACAATTTATCTCATGACAGTAAAGAGGTATGGCAGGGATGTATTAATGGCACTTTTCTACATGAGCCCTTGATCGTTTACAACCAAAAAACAACCTGACAAACCAACAGGTGGCTGCTATGGATGGAAAGATTTGTAATCTTCTTTGGGTGATCTTTTAAAAGAAAACTAAAATCCAATGATCCATAAGATGCTGAATTCTTTCTTTTTACAGTCAAATAAACCAAAGCCATTTTAACAGGGTTCTCCCATTTTTCCCCCCCATGTCAAAACAGTTACTTGTTGTCTGTCGCTCAGGGAGACTTTCACACACAACCACAGAATACATTACTGTCGCGTTTCAACATCAGTGAAAAGTGAATTTGACCATGAAGTTCCCTTTTATTCAAAGGCCTCGACTACTTTGGAACTCGGTTTTCGATATATGTTGACTCACAGCCTGTCGTAATCTTTGCAGAAAATAACTATATGTTTTCACACATCAAAAGCACTGCGGGTGGATGATTTGAGATTAATACATACCAGAGTAAAGCATGGTGGCAACATTCTTATACTCAAATTGGTGACAAAATTGACATTGTTCAAAATCTTGAAAGAGTCTGAATCATACGCTGTCACAGGCAGAGTTATGTTAAAAGGGGGCCAGTTATTGATAACACAATCAGTTACATTTGTGTCAACTCACAAAAAGCAACTAAAATATGATTTGATAATTTCATTACTGGGCTACAGTATGTGCGCTTGGACAGAGAAGGTGACGCAGACATGCCATTGGAATTTCAAAATAGAGGCGTATCTTAAAGAGCAAGATATGTATCAATATATTATATATCGATCTAGATGTATCATACTCAAGGCGTTATAAATGAGGGTCCCTCTTCAATAGTCTTACATATAGTGAAATAAAGGTTGATAATAATTCAGTGGGTAGCACACTGTCACAAAACTGGATGGTGCATTATACTAGAAACCAAATCAACCTTGGACAAATAGTTAAAGACAGCACTGCAAACACAAACACATTTCTGAGCACTGTGCGTCAGGTTGATTCCCTCTATCACACCCAACAACAAATAGAGAACACGGTTTAACTGTGATATAACTAGACAGACAGTGAGTGTTTTTGTTGTCCCTGCGTGCACAGTTGAACTACAGCAAGTTAACTGTCTTTTGACCGACTTTGTAAAATAGCGGACAGAACAACGCAAGTATAAAAATATGACACAAGCACTGATGAGTAGCAGGTGATGTAATACTGGGAATATATATAATATGAAGAATCACATTCAACACACTATTGATGTATAATTAATAAAGAGTGCAAACTGTTTTCATCCACACTTCATCAGTGTGCTGATAAATCAATTCCCAATTGAAAACAGCGGTTAAACAAGTTGATCAGGTGCCAACAATCAAGCAATTATGCGCTGGTGTTGAATAGAGTGAAAAGTCTAAAGTGCAGGGAAGCGTACTGTACTGGGGAGTATAGAAAGCCGTCATAAAAGATGAGCCACCAAACATGTGCAGTGAAATGTTATTTTGGTCATAAATCAGCCATTTTTCCTGCGCTGACACACCATTTCAAATTGCTGCAGTAACACTGCCATAATCAGAGATTGCTAACCATGTACATCATACTTTAAAGTTTTTTTCATGTTTCATTAAATGCCTTTCCTGTGTTTCAGGTTAACTTCTTCAATAATAAATTATCCGCATGCAGCTCAAACAGCCTTTACTCTACTAGCCAATGGATTGCATAAAACCTGAAAGCTGTCTGTTATGCAATCTTTGGATCGCTCTATTTGAACACACACGAAAAGAAAGCATTCTTAACTGTATTTTTCTATGAAAAGAATGCTCTGGAGAATGTGTTTAACAGAGTTTACTTGTACTTGTTCCAGTCCCATGCTGTTTTCTCCGCTGACTAAACACCATGCAGCAGGGTGGAGGTCAAGACAGAGGCAGCAGATAAGAGGGACAGGGGAGAGGAGGGAGAATGGAGGAGGGAGAGGAGGGCGTACTCCCTGACCGCAAAGCACAATGTCTTATCTTGTCCTCTGTCCTCCCTGTCTTTATCTACTGCACATGGATGTGGAGACTGTACACAGATGTTTGCTGCCCGCAGAAATGGAAATAAGAATGAAATGTTTTGTACAAATGACAGTGCTGCCTAAGCCAGAGTCCATTGAGCAAATAACTAGTAAAACAGATGTAAATATTATGTAAAATAAACAACTTTAAGAACTCTAATACCAGGCCAGAAAGTGGCACATGGAAAGTTGTCTGCATGTCCATACAAAACAGGTGTTGCTGTGAGCTTGGTGACGTAGTGACTTGATGTTCTCTCAGTTGCTAACTGAACAATAACTAAAAGCAGTTGAGCAAATTGACTATTTGCCAGGCACAGCAGAACTTGTAACCCCACGTAATAATATAGTTAGCTGATGACATGCTCCTTGCTTTTTTGGAAATAACAACCGGCTGCTACCGTGGGTAGTAAGCTAGTTAGACGGCTATGCTAACGTCTCTCAGAGGTCAGCCTGGCCAAGATGGCTTGCAATTGGTCAGCACCGCAAATTCCAGTCCTCCAAAATTTGACTCTGTGTAAAAGCTCAGCACCAGATTATTTAGCCTCGACCAGGAAATCCACTAAAAATTAACTGTCCAACAATATTTTCTTTAATTGCTACTCTCTGCTTCTCCCTGCAAGGGTCTGTTGTTGTATGCATACCATAGACTGTAGCTGTACAGATAATAGTTCATTCATAACTGCACTACGCATATTATATTCACTAGGTTAGGCCTATATATAAGCAAAATGCTTGAACATGCTTTTCAGGTATTTATTATATCAATATCTATATTCTTGCAGTGGATGGATATTGTTATGAATGTATGACAGTGACATTTGGTTTTTATTCTGTATCCTTTCTTCTTAACTCATGGTTTCAAACAGCAATATCCAGGGATGAGCCTAGAGTGGATCTTGGATAAGCCTCTAGCCCTTGGCTTAGGTCCCCACCCCCATTTCTCTAGTGCTTGCTCTCCTTCTCTCCTTCTCTCACTCTCTCTCTCTCTCTCTCTCTCTCAAACAGACGAACACACATAGAGGGACTCCAAAAGCACTACAGACACTCTGCCAATTTAATAAAGAGAGACTTTGTCATGCGTATCTCTCCCACAGCTTCCTGGCCAAAGTGACAACAGTGTGGGTGAGTGGAAAAACAGGAAGAAGACAGGCAGAATATAGACAGCTTTAGCGGGCCGTGGATTGGCCTGCGTGTGTGTGTTTATGTTTGTGTGTCTGTGTCTGTGCTGAAGCCTGTGCATGTGTATGTACAGCATATGTGTTAACCCGCGAAGACATGTGCTCACCAGGACATTGCTCAACATTGAGAAGCGATGGTGGTGTAACACTGACAGGGCTCCCCGGTCAGGAAGGAGAACTAGCTGTTTCCTGGAGCGGACGTCTGGCTGTCAGCGCCTGGGTAGGAGCGGGATATGGCTCCACCACAAACAGACCTCATGATGGGAAGACCACTGGACAAAGGCCACAGGGGGAACTTCACCCAGGCACCGAGCTTTTGGGGGAACTTAATAATGCATGATTTGTGTTTTCTTGGTAGTACAGCATGATTGCTTTCCTGAATGTCCCTCTGGAGGATGAATATCTCTGAAAATGTACAGATCTCTCAAATGTTATCGAATACACTCTAAAAGATGCAACATTGTGCCTTTTAGAGGTTGGCTGTACTTTTATCACCCCCCCACCCCGAGACTAAAGGCAGCCTATTCTACTCTGTTTTTAGCGTATGAGCGCTCCACCACTGTAATACTGCAATAGTTTCTTCATTAACCCACACTTTCCCTCCTAATTATTTTGCTGCTGTCAACGATGTGGTAACCAAGTGCTTGTATACTAACAGTGTCCAAACCGATTTCTGCTGTGAGTGAGTCATTTGGTAAATATAGGGAATGACAGCACTGACTTTCAATTTGGGCTCAGCTGTTTAGCAGTCTAGTTGGAACACACAAACACATGAACATGATGACAGATGCACACACACACACGCGCACACAGCTGTCAGTGGTTTGGGTGTTCAGAGAAGATATTTGAATTCTGCAGTTGCATACATGTAGGAGATGAAACTGCAGCGTGCAAACATGGCATGACATGAAAACATGGCGTGGAAATAGGTCATATCATAGGTAGTACAGCCTTTGAACTGCCTCAACTGTTATTGCACCGATGTATCAGTAGATGAGACCTGCTTTAGCTTGACAGCCAGAGAGGCTCCCCAGATGGTAAACAGAAAAATGAAATTATGCCCTGACCATGCCAGATTGTTAGTGTCCACAAAAGGCTGTTAGTTCCTGGTGTTTTTGTGGAGCTGAGCACCAGTCAGGACTACCTTACAGCTCACTGTCATATTTACACCGTCAGATTTATTTTGGAGGAGTGAAAAAAGCCCTCCCCCCCCCCAATCCCCCTGCCCAACACAGAGACATATCTGTTTACTGGAGAAAGAGAGCGAGAGAACAGACGGTAAGGCCACAGGTACATGTGCATGCATGTGTGCTGGCGTGTGCACAATATTTTCCTGCGTGTGCGCGTGCATGGGTGTCATGTTTGTTTGTGGAGGGGAAAAGTGTCACCGGGTGCTTTAGCCCCGCCACAAACCCAACTCCTCCCGACATCTGTGAGTCAATTAGCTGACTGAAGAGAAAACATCCCTGCCCCCTCTCTTCCACACCCACCCTTCCCTCCATGCATCCCTTCCTCCACCAAACAACTCCAACAAGCCAGCCAGCCAGTTAGGTAGTGTAGCATAGCAGCTCCTGTCTGCCCTGCCTGGTGTGAGGCACTGGGGGAGGGGCGCTAGTCAGGGCCGGGGGTGGGAGGGTAGTGGGGGTGATGAGGTTGGATGTCAAGAATGTGGCTCATGGTCTGCTCTTTTGTGTGTTTTGTGCAAGATGAATAGGCCCATGGCAGGCTGGGGTGCTAGCCGGCCACAGATCCCGTTGACTTGTGTGTTAGAAAAGCCTGAAGGCCTTGGCCTGCCCCTCTTGAAATGAGACAGACGGATAATGAAGGCTGCTGGGTGAACAACTTAAACGCCCACTACATATAGAAATAACTATTTCAATGTCTTATTTCCTCCATGGCTCATTCTTGTCTCAATATTGCATTTAGCTTCATTATCTCTCTTCTCTTCTGTCTATCTCTATCTCTCTGTCCATGCCTCCCAGAGCCCCCTATCAGGAAAGTTATTGTTTGCTAAGCTGCTGTGGGGGCTGTTCGTTTTTATGCCTGGTGCATCCCATATTCCCTTCCCCATTCGTCCCCAATGCCCTCCATGTCCTCGGGCTACTGCTATGGAAATATGCTTCAGTCACATTGCTAATTATTTAAGAGTTGTCACCTCATTAACAGTGCTGGGAGATAATGAATGATTAATAGGTCATTCCTCACATCGACACTGTGTTCTCCCACTCTCTCCCACTTCCTCCTTCCATATAGCTACTTGTTTGTCAGGTTGTGCTGGCTCTTGTTGTCCATCGAGTCTGTGTTTCCCTCCACAATCCTGCACTGCATGTGCACGCTCACGAAGGTAACTGGAAACGTCATCAGCGGCTGCAAGGCAAGAAGTGCAGTGAAGGGAACACGATTAGTGTTTGTGTCGACAATGATCCCTCAGGCTGGTAAATGCTGGGGAACCGTGTTGCTTGGAAATGCAGGCAGTGGGCTAGTGGTACAGATTGTAAATGACTGACATTGCTTGATAATGACCCAAGATTGGATACATAAAACCAGGGAGTCAACTCCAGTTGGTTTTGTATAGCTTGCATTAAGTCAGCGTTGGGGCGTCTGAACACCTGCAGGCACCAATACTACTTATCATGTCTTTGCTATCATGATAAGTATGCTGGGAATGCTCAGCTGGAGTGGGGAATTTGTGTCAGTGGTTATCTGGTGCCTCAGATACCTCTTCATGGTCTCGACTATCTCAGCTAACAGGAACATTGCATTCTTTCATTCATTACGACAACTATTTTCCTGCTACCACTGAAGGCCACAGTATGCTTCAACATGTCAAGTATGCTTCAAAGCCTGCTGTCACAGAGAGGGGAGGGGTTGAAGAATGTAGGATGAATGAAACAAATGAGGATAACAGCGCATAAACAGTCTCCCCTCTGAGGCAATCACAGTGTTGTGCTTGGTTGTACAGAAGTAGTAGTGTGATGAATGACAAAACAGAGCTTGAGAAAGAAGTTCAAACCCTGCCTTGTGTGTTGGCCATATTGTCACATTGTCTGTGTAAACTACAGACCCAACCCATGTCCTCTTTAAGTTAGGTATTCAGAACAACGAGAAACACTTTTGCCCTCCAACATGGTCTTAGATCTAGTTCATTGGGTCTGGGCAATCATTTTCTGTACTATGTATCAGCTCTCAGCAGAATATTAAAGTGAGAATATTTATATTTATATTCATTCAATGTATTTTACAGAAAAGTGTTGTCCAAATCAATAAATTCAAACAAGCTGTAATTTAATGTTTAAAAAGTCTTAGTTTTGTGTGCAGTTGTGTGCCTTCTAATATGCAACAGTGGAACAGTTAGCTACCCAGAGCATCCGTTTGACTATTTTGTAATTTTGCATATATTGGCCATATTTTAATATACCAGATACAGGTATTGGGAAAAAAATACATTATTAATATTGTGATAATGATTTCAATTTCAATTTCTCCACACAGACAAACTATGAGCCCATTTTTACCAACTCTATTCTCAGATCTTCTATATTTGTAGTTTGTTAAGTCTTATAGAGATCAGGCCTTCTAGGGCTGTTCAAGTGGGACGAAATAAGCATGTAAAAACAAACCAATCAAGTGCATCACCATCAAACAGTAACAGGCATTACATGGAAACACTACATGGAACAATCACAAAAGTTTTTGGAAAGCTGCTTTCATGTGGTACCCTTTGAACACCCCCCACCACATCAAATCATTACTTTCACTCAAGTCTCACTCCCACTTGTGGCCCAGGTCCATGAGTGGCAGTTACCAGGTTTCTCCCCCTCCCTCCCTTCCAAAGTCTCTCACCCACTTCTCTACCAAAGCCTGTTTGAGTCAGACCCTCCCCCGTTAGCCTTGACTCAGGCTTATTGCTCCCTCTCAGCTGCTCGGCTGAACAGTGACTGTTGATTGGTGGTTGAGGCGGAGAAGGAAGCCTTGGGAGTATTTATAGAGACTCTCTCATTTACCAGAACAATAACAACCCTCCCCCACACTGAGACAAGCAAACTGACTTTTGGTTTCACATCTCTGGGGAAATGTGCATACTAGGACACACTTTGTCCTGTTGAATAAGGTGACCGTCGATTCATATTGATGTTGTGAAAGCAATTCTAACAGAACAGGTTGAAAGTGACTCATAGGTCATTCATGTCTTGAGTTTAAAAATGTAGAGAGCAAACTTCTGGGATGTTTTGAAAAACATGCTATCCATTTACATTTTATGTTTCTAGTGTTAAGGTAATCATGGCAGCGTGGTTGATTTTTACAATTAGAAGCAGCAGAACGCATAGTTTAAAGTATTTAGAATTAAATGTCCTGCTGGAGCATTAAACACACTAAAACACACAGGTATTCAAAGCACATACAGTGAGTATTTGTTTTATCTGAGATGAGCAAACACCTTGTATATCAGGAATGTTAATACTGATGCAGGCAAAACTATCTTAAGAACACGGCAGGACTTCCTGACTACTCAGCCATATGGCTCCACCTCTAAACTCACATGTCTGTACCAGCCATAAGGCTCTGAACATTGCTAACATTGCCAGTAAATACCGGCAGATACAGTGTTGGGAGGATTAGTCAGGTAGGTAGGACTGAGACAGCTGATCTTAGTTGATGGGGACAGAGATAAAAGATGACTTGGGTGATCAGTCCAATGTCCACTGGCAGATGATTAGAGTAGCTCATAGAGCTGCCTCTCAGCTTGTCCGTCTACTTGTCTGTAGACACAGGATAAGCCATTCATCACAGCCTGGAGAACATAGAAAATGCTGTTACTGCAGAGTTCAGCGATTGGCCCGGGTTCAAATTTAGCAATACTATCATAAGCACACTGGCTGGTTTTAGGTGTTAAGTTTCTATAAGCTTCTCCTCCACCAACTCACAGAACCAAGGATAACGCTGTCAGTCAATGCACTTTCACTCCACTACACTCCAGTGAGCGCCTTTGCGCCAGGGGGGGCTCTCCACACACTCCAAGACCCTGTTGAGGAGCAATACACATCGGCCTCTACATCTCTACAGACTGTTGGCTCCCTTGAATTCCGACGTAGACGGCCTGAAAGTGGCAGCGAGATGTTATGAGATCTCCATGGCCAACTTCATAACACCTAGAACGGTTGCTGGAGTTGGTGCAGTCCACAGTGGGAATTACATGCAGAGAGCCTGGGCAGATGATGCACAGACAGAGTGGGCCGAGTTCTACGCAGTGTTCCGACATGGAAGTTATTAGCTACATGTCACTAAAGTAGAGTCAACGAGGAATGCTGAGGCCTTTCATATAGGGGGAGCTCATCATAGGTTGGAAAAACTCATACTGATTTGCTGAGAACACAAATAGGTGAAGCTGAACTACTAATTCTTTAGACCCTATTTAGAGAGTGAAACCTGTGTGAAATCAACCGATCCTGCAACTGCAGCATTTGTATTGCATGTTTTACAGTGTGGCACAGGGGCGTGTCCAAGCTGGGAATGGAAGTAACACTTCCAGCCTATTGCTCCTATAAACACAGTCACATGAACTCTCCCTCTCTCTTGCTCTTCATCCTTGGAATAAAAACACATGCGCACACAAAAGCATAAAAGTCAATGAATGGCTCAAGGCAAGGTGTGTGGAGGCTCCGCTCCAAATTACAGACCATAGTTAGAGATGTGAAACATATAGAGAAAAGCAGCCTATAAGGGGCCGCAGTATACTCCATCTAATTACAACAACGCAAGTCTGTTCAATGGATATATAATTACAAAATGCATATCTTCCACTACGATCATGGCTGATTGCAATTTCATGCAAATATCTTGGATTTTAAACAGACGCAGTGATGTGATTGGTGAGCTCCAGAAGGTTTGGACACATTGCCTACGCTCTCTAATGCAAATGACACCATTAGGAGCTTTTGGCCCTGGGATAAAAATAAAGAGTGTTTTGATGCATTTTAAAATACGTGTTTGTCATATTGTCACAGACTGCAGTGACCTTGTACAGAAGACACGCTCCACTGAAAGAGTGCTCGTCACAGAAACTTATGTTGATTGTGTGTGTTTTTCTTCAGACTAACTGGCTGGGTGAGTTTCTCAGATAGCACCCACACCTGGGAGTGGCTTATTAACACTAGCTTAAAGTGTCTGGACAATATCAAACAATGACAAATGTCTGCCAGTGGTTGTCCATTTATAGTTGAATTCCCAGGACAATGGATTGGCTTGCTCTCCCAAAGTGGTTCCATTCATTTGCAATTGCAGGCAAGAGGTCGTTGTCCTGAAGTGGGCAATCAAGAGACGCGTGCATCTGCAGAGTGGAGGTACACACACACACAAACACACACACACACACAGAAACATACTGACACTCCTGAATCCACAGTCCATACACGTAAACCAGGCGAACACACATCCATGCACAGCAGTGGTTACACTGCCGCTGCAGTTAGTGTGGCCTAGAATAGCACACGGGCTACATCCCCCTCTGCCTCACTGAGGCGGACACACAGCAGACTGGTGGGTCACATGGACAAACAGTTATCTGGGAGATGAAGTGCACATGCACATACCGGGGCAACACTCTTGCGGTGCACGCACATAGGCCAAATAGATGAGTAGGTGCAGACAAGGTGGGGAACACGGAATTCTACACTAATGCTGTATGACACAGACTGGCAGATATGAACATGCATGCTGACTCCTACTTACATGCACAAGAAAACAGAAATATCAAAAATATTTCTATCTATATCTATCTATCTATCTATCTATAAAGGAAATCTGAAATTAGTAAAAGTTGTGTTTTTATAACAGCAGCAGTTAGCCTACTTTGGAAGACAAACATGATGTCCAAATATTCTTTCAAAAAGAAACAGCGGGGAGGGGGGTATTTAAATTGGCTACTGTGTCACAGCTCTCCAACAGCCCCTTTTTTTCTACGCCCATGCACAATTATATTAAGTAGGGCCAATAGGAACAAAGAAGAGGCAGGACCGAGGCTCCACCTCTCTCCGACTGCCTTCCTCTGAGCTTTTTAGATGTACATAATCCCTGAGTTGACCCAGAAAATAGGCAGTCGTTTCAAGATCTGATGCGGCAGTCTTTGTGCACACCGTCCCCGCTTGAGCATGAAGCGTAACCCTGTGGAATAGATACTGTAATTCGGAGGAGTGTTGCCTTGCAGAGGAAAACTGTTTAAATAAACGGAGCCAAAGCAAAGTCGCGCAACTTTGTGAAAACGTAGCGGATACGGGTAAGTGTTTTCCCTCGGATATATTTGTGAGAGACATTGGGTTTTTTTTTGGTCTGTGGTGGTCTCCGGGGGCTGCTGCTCTATTGTTTGCATTCCCTTGTTTCAAACTCGAGATCTAACAAAATGGATAATATTAGGCTACAGTGTTCTTGTATACAAACGTTGAAACAAATCGGCACAAAGTGATCGGAGAAAACCCGGAGCCTTTGTTGGATTTGATGCCCTGTTAGAAATGTGGTGATTCAGCTGTTGGGGAAGATGTTGCATGATGTCAGTGTTCTTTGTTGCAACCTTACGTGCGTAAAATGTAACAAGATTGTTTCGGCCTCAGCTAACGTGCAACATTTAATGGGATTGAAGCAATGCACTATGCGATGCACGCATTTTCCTCCGTTTTGTCGATCCCGTCGTGCATGAAATCTACGGCTGAAAAAAAAAAAAAATAATCCCAAACATTGCAGGTTAACCTGTAATTCCGACCTGGGCGTTCATGCCTTGGCACAAAGAGGGGAGGTTTTAGGAAGACCCCCAACATTTCAGGGGTCGCCAATAGGCAAAACAACCGTGCGGATATTTTTTTGGTCCGGAAGCGTTTCGGTGGGTTAACTGTGACGTTACGAGGGGAAAATGTATCTTTGTTTCTTTTGAATGAAGGTGAATTGTGCGATCACTCTAAGAGAAGTCAATTGGGTATGAAATTGGTTTGACCCACAGCTATGTACTGCACATCTCACACATGGTACCATTAACACAATTATTGTGTGTCTTGGTCAGTGACACGGGTTAAAAATGGACAGCGCCATAGGCTCATGTCAGACTCTTGATTCCAGCTGCACCTCCCTTTTTAAATGTTTTTACTGCCTCCAAACATCACGTCTGACCCGTGCAATGATCTAACAGTGTCTCCTCTCTGTTCATAGACAGGAGGCATGGCAGACCATCTGATGATGCCCATGAATCACAGCTCAGCGGGCGCCAGTCTCCACGGTTACAGAATGGGCATGAATGGCGGCCTGCAGGCAGGTCACCAGCAGCATGCCAACCAGCAGGGCATGCGGGTGCTGCCCAATGGCCAGATGATGCACTACGGTGGTGCCCAGGCCAACATGGAGACTGCCATGAGGCAGCGGCAGGGCATGGTGGGCGGACCCATGAATGGACAACTGAGCGGGGCCCAGATGGGGCACCACCAGATGACCTCTGGTAACATGATGTATAATGGCCAGCCCCAGCAGCAACAGCATCACCCTCAGCAGCAGCATCACATGCATCCACAACAACAACAGCAGCAGCAGCACCAACAACAACAACAACAACAACAGCAGCACCAGCAACAAGCCCAGCACCCGCAGCAGCAACCACAACAACAACAACAACAACAACAGTTCATGAACGGAGGGTTAACGTCCCAGCAGCTCATGGCCAGCATGCAGCTGCAAAAACTCAACACCCAGTACCACGGACACCCACTGGGACCTATGGGTGGGAACCACATGGGGCCCACGACCCAGTACCGCATGAACCCGGCCCAGCTGGCTAACATGCAGCACATGGCCGGACCAGCCCTGGCCCTGAACGGCATGGACGCGGATATGATTGACGAGGAAGTTCTGACCTCGCTGGTCATGGAGCTGGGCTTGGATCGGGTCCAGGAGCTGCCTGAACTCTTCCTGGGCCAGAATGAGTTTGACTTCATCTCAGACTTTGTCAGCAAACAGCAGCCCAGCACCGTTAGTTGCTGAGAGGACCTGATTTTCAAAAGGGGCACAAATGGAGACAGGAGAGAGAGAATTGTCCAGGGTGGATGAAAAAGTGCTCATCTCTTCACTTTTTATTTAGTGAGCACATCCCTGTACAACTACGCCCAGTTGCGGCACAGGATGTACAGAAGAGAACTCTGGATATTCACAGGGAACACACAGTGCTCGAGTCTCACATGTGCGAGTGGCCTGAGGGTGGATGGATTCAAGGCAGAGTTCCACCGCTCCCATTTCCTGGACATGAATGTAATGAAGAAATGCAGAAATTCTTAAAAAGCCACTCTGAACAATGCTATGACACTGTGTAGCCTCCGAGCCTGGACTCTATGACAGTTTACCAGTAAAAAGGTGTATTTATTTATTCCTATCTGAGAAAACTGATATAAAGAACAACCACCATCTCCATTTTGGGAACCAAGTGGTTTTAACAATTCTTTTTTTCTGAGAGTAGGATGGGGGAGACATTTTAAATTAAGTTCTCTTGATGATTTGTTTCCCCCATTCTATTTGCCCAGTATTTAAATAAGCTCGGGTGACACGGTCATCGAAAAAAGAGCCTGTATTTTCTATCATAAGTCACACCCGATAGAAGATCAATGTTATCTCATTTGAATGGGGGGCCTCATCCAGATTTTAAAAAATGGTTCACTTTTGGTAAAGTGTTGCCTTTTTTAGATGTAATGTTCTCAAAAAAAAAAAATCTACTGCTTTTACTGTATGAAGCTGTATAACTCCAACATGTCCACACTGTTGTGTTCTATTGGAGGTGTAGAACCGCCTTAATCGCGCAGATTCTTATTTATTGGTTGTTTATATTGTCCCCTTTTTTGTGGTCAAGATGGGGGGGGGGGGGATGGTCTGTGAAGGGGGTTTTGAGGATCAATAAAGATGGCCTGGATAGAAATGTGGCCTGCTTTTCCATTCATTGCACAGTTCTTCCCCTAGGCAGTGGAGAGCTAGCTAAGTGCTTAAGTTAACCTGTGGGTGAAGGGAAACCTCAGTTTCTTTCCAGTCTGGGATAGAAATGTTCAAACGGATAGGATATTTATGCTTTCATGGGGAATATACTCTACTCCCATTGCTCCTGGGTAATTTGCTATTTTCATTGCTAATAAGGCTACTGAACATGAGTGACATACATAGACACTGACATGTTTCCCTGCTGGTTAGCTAAAGAACAGCGGTATTATATGTCAGTGTACATCTGTTATTGCATCTCTGGTAGCGGTAGCCAAACGTGATTTATCATTCAACATTTTATCTTGGTGCTTATCCAAGCCCAAATGCCATGCACTGACATAATAGGTGGTATACGTTTGCCATAATGGCAAGATATTCATTGAAAAGACTGGTGGGCTCACAAAACAGTATTTGAACAATATTGTTTTCGCTACAGCAACACAAACATTTGTTTCTTTTCTGTGTGTAAAGCGTAATGTGAGCATGTGTGTGGTTGGGAGAGGTGAAAATGACCAAAGAATGCTTACCGTGATGGGGGTTTAACTGACTTAAAGCTTGTAAGCCCTGCTGACTCAAAGACAGTGCAGCTCTCGGGTCAGAGAAACCAACTCCTGGCTCTAAATAATAACAAATGACTTATGCAAAGTCAGAACAAGCCCCTCTCCAGTCTAAGCCACAGCCAGTTGGAGGGGTAAAACAATTTTCCCCATATAATTACATTCATTATGAAACGGGGGGTAAAGGGATTCTCTGCGGTGGGTGAGTTTGTTGGATCGTCATGTGCCTGCGGGCTATGAAAACGCTTGATTGAGGTCATGTTGGGAATGTCATTGCCGCATCTAGCTTTTCACATTGTCAACAAATGCGTCTTTAGTGAGTAACGAGGGGGAATGAGAACACTGTTGTTTGTAACCAGGAATAGTGTTCAATGATTGCTCAATTTTTGAGTCAACTCTGCTCTTAAAGCAGCCTCGTATACTCTCATTTGTCCATTTGTGTTTCGAGGCTGATGTGCTAAATTTGAAACACCGTATCATGGATGATCCAAACTGAAATATCCTGGCCTCAATGCGGGCTTGTTTCAAGTAACAGAGACTAGCTTAAGGGTGTGTGTGTGTATTTTCTTGGCTTTGCACTGTCAAGAGAATGGCTCACAAGTAGGCCAACAGCCTTGGCACAGTGCTTAGTAACGGTTGCAGGTCCCTTGCCCAGTGCCAATCTGGTGAGATGGTCTTCTGGTGTGTGTGGCACATGGGGCGTGTTGGCACACTGTCAGATCTCTGTCGCCTCATATATCTCATAATTGTATGCTGCACTGTGAGCTCCTTGTTTAGCCCCAATTAAATGCAGAGGTTGTGTTTCTTGATTGTGACTCCATGGACGAGTGGTTAACTCCGCTAAACAGCCCTGTTTGCTCTCCCCAATCCCTTGTTATGACTGCCGCCTGCCTGACAGGGGCCGGTCTAGACACACGCTAAGCAGGGTGGGACACTCGGAGATGTTTACGGTTACTTCTCTTCTTCTTACTCTCTCGTTTTCAGCACACCCACAGCAACCGCTCAATATAACAGTGTGTCTTCCTGTGGCAGCTTGCTGTTTTTCTCAATATAAGTCAGAGACCAAAAACCACATTCTGATAGAGAGGCAGACAGGCAAAGTGAAACAGTCAAGACATGAGAGGGGGGGTGAGACAGAATGTAAGGATCTCTCTTGTTCACATTTAGCAATTAGGTGGAGTTTTTTTTAGGCCTCAGGGATTTCTTAACTGGGTTTTCCCACTGCCATTTTATGATTCCATTTAAAACCCTTCAATACACATCACGCAAGGTATGTTAAATGTAATCCAGATAACATTCCTCTCTTCTGCCATATAAACTGTATATGTCTATGCATTGAGCACTGTCTAGATTTCCTTTTCCAGGCTTTGGTCCAGCTGGTGCCAAGCCTGGACTGGTGGTAATCTCAGGCCCTAGCGCCAATGATGGATAGGTGGTCATTTGCTGTTGTCACGCATGGCCAGGACTTCACATGCGCACACAGACACACTATCACAGCATCAGCACACAACCTGATCAAACGGGCTAACTGTGATACATCAGTATCGGTGTGGAGTCAGGGGGAAGATAATGGATTTTTTTTTTGTGTCATATCTGGTCATTGTGACCCTTACACCTACAGTGTTTTTGGTAGATCATGGTGGATCCCATGATGGGAAAGTACATCCAGAAATTAGTACTTAATAAAGATGTACTGGAAACTTGCAATTTCTAAACAGTGTGACTAAACTGAGCGTTTTTTATTGGAGAGCTAATTCTGAGATTTAACAAAGGAGTCACACCAAGAATACCCAAGTGTGAATTACTGTAAAGGAAAGAGTGAAATACGCAGTGAAAGTGAGACACAAAGTGAGAAGACACCTTAAGTTATTTATTGTTTCTCTCTCTGTGTGAATATTATGTAAAGAGAGCACATGTTTGAACTTGTCTGCTTTAACAAGACAGTTTGAAGGTTTTTGGCATGTTTTATCATATGCTTGTGTGTGTGTGGCTGTCTATAGTGGTGTATGACTGTGTGTGTGTGTGTGCTGGCAGGGGTAAATAAACAGCAGATCCCTCAGGGCACAGTTCATTCAGTTGACTTCACATGTTGCTTAAGCCAAACTTCCTGATTTTCTAGCTGAACAGTCACCTTGCATCTTCACCTGACATGCTGCTACTCTTCCTTCCCCTTGCTTCCACTTCCCAGAGTAAAAAAAAACACGAACATATAACAGATCTTTCAATACAACAGGCTCTGGAAAACATCAGTTGTTGCACTGTTGGATTCTGCTCCTGGGCATTTTAGTAAAGCTCAGCATCTTCTAAGTAACAAAACCTTTCCTCTTTCTCACAGGAGGGGAAAAGCAACATAAACACATCGCACTCTCTTTCCCAGGACCACACGGTTTAGCTGTGTCTCAGTAATTGTTTTGTTTTCCACATGTATCCTGCTGAGGAGGCCTTTAAATGCAGCCGCGTACCTTGTGAATGCAGCCTCCAAAGGTAAGTTGCTGATTTTGGCATGTCAGGGCAGGTGACACAGAGGTTGCCTAGTGACTAGTAACTCCTCCTCTGACCCCCCTCCCTCCCCAAATCTGGGGTTGCATGGTTTGCCAGCTCTTTGAAGTAGAAAGGGGGGAGGTGGGGGGGGGGTAAATAATTTATGTTCCTGCACACAGCTGACATCTCTCCGTCGAGCCGGCTCAAACACACCAAGGTGTCCCAACAATGTCTAACGGTGGTAAATATTTAAGTGTGTGATTTACACGGTTGAATCGAACTGAGCGGGGCAGCGTTTTTGCAACAGTTGTGCAAAATGTTGGTTTCTTATTCGTTAGTTTTTATAAGTGCAGGGATTACCAGGTTGAAAGGGTTTTTATTATGTAATTCAAACCGATTCTGCCATAGAAATAAGCTTAAATTACCTCTCAAACTCCTTTATTGTTTTGCAGTTTGTGTCAAAACCTGCCACGCCGATTATTAGGAGATAAACATTTAACAGCAACCCCTGTGCAATGTAATACAATCCAAATCTATAGCAAGTATTCCCCATCTGTCGCTTAAAATATTACATTTTTGTTGACAGTGCGTCAGCAAGATATTATTACTGTACAATATAATGGAGAGGTGAATCTGACACTCAAAGATTGAACATTATGAGCTTCACATACTTTGTTGGAAGGCTTTTTCAGAAGTTCATATTATTGTGTTCACCTCCTGTACTGGCGATTTTATTGGACTCCGGCTCGTTTTATGTGAGCAAGGAAATGATGTGGGCCTGCCCGGGAGAGTTACAGGTTGGTAGGTTAGAATGGAGGGAAACAGTATTAGCACAGGCTATGTTCTGTACACAGTGTCTTTGTGAACAGGGCTTTAAGCCTGCGTGCTAATCTGGTGACAGTGGCAAGCACACGCTACAAGAGACAGAGTAACAGGCTATAGGCTGGGGGTGGAATTAATACAAGAGATCAGTTCTTGTGAGGCTGTGTGTTATCCTGCTGTTAAAATCTCCTTAGTGTAATATCAATGTGTAAATGCTAACATATGCATGTCTTTCTTATCCACCTGTGTATTTGTTGTATTTCTGTGAGTGTTTGTGTGAGATCCATGCTATTATTTATTTTCTAACTCCCGGGTGGATAAAACCCACGCTGCCGTGTGACCAACATTTTCCTTGTAGGAAAATCCCGACATTAGCCGGCCCACACCATCTGTAGGCACGAGGCTGATAAAGTTGGGATGAGGGCTGTCAAGACAACATTCAGATATTATCTCCAAATCAAAAGTCACCGGGGACAAGCAAGCCAGCGGCCTCATCTGGAAAAAGCTATGAAATCAGATTTTTGCAAAAAATCGTCGCTAGAGACTGCGGTCTGTGTCATGTAAAGCAAACATCACTTTGTGTTTAAAATAAAAAGGCTTTGGGTTCCTCTGACGTGTGATCACATTTTCCATCCCTCACTATGTGGTGCCAAAACCCTCAGAAGTTTTGTTCTACTGACCAAAAACTGACCAACTGTAATAGAACATTTGTAATAATATATATATATATATATTAAATAAGAGGAAACATGATTCAAAGATTAGCCTGACAATTTCAAAGTCAAGTATACTTAACTGAGGCCAGAGCACCTCGAAGGCATGCTGGGGATTCTGGTATCCGCCAGAGAGAAAGTGAACACTGAGCACTTTATTTTTTTGTATTGTTTCTGTCTTAACTGTGCCCGCAGAGTGCAGCATGCCAGGCTGGTTCTGCAGAGAATACGGTATTTCCATGCCATAACAAAAGAGCTTAGAAAGTCATTTTTTTTCTCACAGTTATGACTGATCTGTAAGCCTGCAAAACTTCCTTTCACACATACTGAAACTGGCTATACGGTGTATGACTCTGGGGCACTGCACAGCATTGTTGGTAAATATCAGCAGCAGAATTTCCCCAAAATGAGCTAATACCACCGTATGTCATAACAATAAAGATAATCTATCTTGCTTGCAGAGAACCCAGCCAGTCATATTGAATATTCACCTCGAAATTTAAAAGAACTCAGTCTGCTGCCCAACCAGCAACACAGGAATGGTGCCTGATGGTTGGTTGTTAAAGTAAGAACTTCACAACCTTCATAAGCACAATATGCAGCACAAGGAGCTGTTACCTCTATAAATAGCACTGGCTTCATGCACAACAATTTGGCTACTATTACACACCAACAAGCACAGGCATCAGCCACGAGCTCTGAGCTTGTCACATGTGCCTGAGCGTAACACACAAACACAGCACGGATTGTGAGTATGTGTCATATGCTCTCACACACAGAGAAATGCATTCATACTCATCCATGTCAGTTAGAATCAGTGGGTTCGGTCACTGTTTTCAGCCGTACGTGATGTTTTCCTGTTTTCACTCGGAGGATGTGGTTAGATTTTCTGTCTTGTGCCAAGTTGCTTCAGTAGACACAAGTCATTTTTCGCCCACAGGCCTAATAGTGCACTGATGTACTGACAGAAACAATGACAGCGACGTTTACCAGAAACGGCATTAATAATGGGTTGACACAAGCATAAATTAGGGGTTTTTTATATAATGGAAAATACATGAAATACCTGCAGAGCAATACTGAGAACGAAGCAACAAAATAACCATATGAAGAAATCTTTACGTGATGTAAAAATATCAGAGATTATCATGCAGTCTACCAGATGGAGATATGACCACCCATGGGAGTGAATGTTAGTGAGTCCCAAGGAGATACAGCAAGGGGACATTACTGCAGATAAGGCAGTACTGCCCCCTGTTGCTGAACTACTGTAACTACACAATGTATTGTTCAAAATAAAATTATAAATAATGAAAAAGAAAAAGTTAGTCTTAAAATGTCAGACTCGTCAAACCTACATTTGTATGTGGCGTGTAATAAGTTTATATCAAAAGGTCGGGCAATTAAAAGGGACAAAAATATTGTGCTAATTAAAAGAGAACAAAATGAATGTGTGTAAATGAGTTTAAACAAGATGTAATCAGAAAGTGTGGCTTTAAAGGTTGACACTGCAGAACAAATAGCACAGAAAATATAAACCAACACTTGACTCATTATATATTTATTGATCAATGTTAAGTATGATAGGGCTCTCCATGTAGGAACTCTAATAATATAGTATAAAAATTAAAAAAGTACAAATAACAAAGACAAGACAAGGCAATGTTAACAACATCCAGAATAAGAATAAAGAAACAGATTTCCTCATGGCAGTATTTTCAGAATAAAGTGTTTTCTTTTTCTTTCATAAAACTAGGGATGCATCGATCCAACTTTTTCAGTCCCGATACCAACAGCCTGGGCGTTGGGTATCTGCAGACACCAAGTACCGATCCAATACCAGTGATCATTTATAAGCTGTATGCCTCAATGTGTGGAAGTGACTGGGATCATTTTTTGTAAGGCAACATCAGGCTTAAACATTACTTCCAAACTTTGTAAAACGAAATAATAACAAATAAATACAGAAGACATAAATGTACAGAATTGTTATTGAAATAATGGTATCCAATAATAGATCCGCATATTGTCACCGATACCTGATCCAGCTATTTGAGCCAGTATCGGACCGGTATCAGTATCGCTGCATCCCTACATAAAACGTGTTTTTCCTTTCCCATAATTAATATTGTTGTAGTTGCAAAACCATGCCTCAAACTGAGACGTTAACCAGAGGCATCCCAAGTATTGGGATGAATGTAGTCTTTTCTTCTCTTGCTTTAGGGATCCTGAAGCATATCCCACACAAACCGTTGAAAAAGGCAAAAATACTAGTCCATAAAGTAGAAAATATGAAATGTACAGAATAAATGTATCATAATAAAAGCAGGCCAAAAAAAAGCCTTTTACAGTTAAATTAGCCACGTATGACTCTTCAAGTTATACTGAAATGTAAAACAGATGAAGGACAAGTGGGTCATCCTACGTATCCCATGCTGCCTTAGGGCTGGATTGTGCTACACAAAATAAACAGTCCTCATTGGATGAGGTCAGGACAAAGGGTATGTAATACCAGATATGGTGGTCTGATGGAAATTGCTACATGTAAATGGTCAGTACATGTACAATATGTAGTGCGTGATATACTGATCCTAGAACAGGATGATGGGGTTGGAGTTCAGTCCTTTGGAAGGCTGCTGCTGCTGCTGGCCGGCTGACGTCCTCAAGCCCGCTTGAGCTTGTCGATGTGGAAGGTGAGTTTGAGGGCGGGACCGAGCTTCAAGCCCATGTATTTCATCATCATGTCGCTACGCAGCAACAGGAGCGCTTTGCCGTCAATCTCCTGCAGCAGAGAGAGGGAGGGAAAATTGTAAGGACAGTTATTTAGCAAAGCTGTCCACCAAGTTAAGTTGTGCAAATGTACGGAACAAAAATCAATCTAGTGTGGTCTAAAAAGTGTATTTGTACTATACATTACAGATACTTAAGTTTATATTTTCTAATGCAACATTTTTATCATTTTAAGCATCTCCTCTTTTATGAGAGAATACACACATGTTTTCTGAACAGGTCCGCATGTGGTGCCAGCACTGGGTCGATATATCTGATATACTGCATGACATCCTCCACTGTCCACAGGTTGGGGTCCTGACCACTCTGTCTCAGGCTTTCCCGGAAACTGCCTGAGCCTGAAAGTGCAAAAGAGCAAACAAATCCATGAAGACAGTCATTAATGCATTAACTCACCAAACACTTTAATACACTTTAGCTTGCAATGCCCAAACACCATTAAGAAAAGTACAACAATTTAACTTAAACCTGTCAAATACACACCCTAAGTTATTCCATCTGTCAAGCTGTTGGAAAGCTTTAAATCTATAAGTGTTATTCATCTTGTAAAGACACAACTCTTGCAGCAAACACAATGCCACTATCTATTATTCACCTACTATGAGAAGTGACACAAATGTTCAAATGTATCATCATCAGTCAAGTCTACTTACAGTTGAGTCAATATGATTCTTCTGATTTTAAGGCGTTCGGCCCATCATTCATTTAAATGGGGCCCTTCCGGTGATGCAGCAGAGGGGCCATTGTGCTCCACCAAAAAAATAAAATGCAGGGTTCGTCATCCGGATTGTGGGCCAATTCAATATGAGCAAGCGCATATTGCTGGTTGATTCTTTTGCAACGTGAATGCTGTATTTCTTCAGTTTACCATGCAATCTTCACAATGAAAGATAAAATGATTGCTGCCATGAGCGTTGAAAACCTACGTCAGTTTATTTTAGTATTTTATTTTTGGTGTCTGACAAGCCTTCAAACTCTTCTTCCCAGCCCCTTGCATTGTTTATTATAAATACAGGGCTGTTCTTGGTCCGATCGTCCATTTAGGTGACCTGACACAACAGATGCTTTGTTACACAGAATTGGCTGAGAAGCCATCTTTGGAAACCGTTTGGAAAAGGGCAAACATTTTCAAAACATTCTTGGCAGGTGATTGGCTGAACAAGCTGTCAATCAAACTCTTGCCATCAAGAAAAGCCTTCAGTGCTGTTCTTTGCTCTGCTTAATGAAGACATATTTGATAAAACTGCAGCATCCACGCTAACCTCTTTAGTGGCCGCTGTTGTTGTTTGAATGACCGGCCATCTCTCTGTATTGTCACACACACCTGAACCACACCCATAGCTGCCCAAAGCTCCTCACAGGACGGCGATTGGTCCTGACAAAACACATTACTCGGAGCCTGACGAGATGGATTCTCGCATGATCTTGTGACATCGCGAGAATACATCCACTGTGCGAGGTCACACTTTAGGAGCATTACGAACGCTTCACTGAAATGTTGTGAAAACGAAGGCAGCGTCAACGTTTCCCGTTGCGGTGTCTGTTCCTACCTGTGGAGTTGTTATGATGCAGCAGCTTGGAGGGAGACCTCAGGCCGGGAGATTGTACCGTAGATTTTGGAGAGAGAGGGCTCTTCTTTAAGTGCTCTGATGCGACAACACTGTTCTCCACGAGGAACTCAGCTGGGGACAAATCACACAGAAGACTCACCAATGAGAGAAAATAAACACATCGACTGTTTCACCATGACATATAGAAAGAACTTAAACGCAATAAAGCAGTGGTGGGATGAGGACGCACCTATTTCTCCATACCTGCTATCTTGACCCTATTCCAGCTGACCTTTTCAAGACTACTTATAATACACTGTGCTGGCATTTCCCCAAACCCTTTTAAAGGCCCCAACTGTAAAACTACACATTAAAACTAACTTAAACGTCTCTCTTAATAAGTACCGCCTCATCTCAAATCTACCTTTCCTGAGCAAACTTTTAGAGAAATGTTTTATCAATTAAACAAACACCTTTGTGTACTCTTGAAAATGTACAATCTGGTTTCAGAGCTAACCACAGTACAGCCACAGCTCTCGTCTGGTTGAAATGATCTTAGATTAAATGCTGAAAGTGGAAATGTATCCGTCGCCATTCCTTAGGGCCGCCCTCAGACACTATTGACCAGTCTTTTACTCAGCCGTCTTTAGAAATTGGTTGTTCTCTCTGGAACAGTCCTGAGCTAGTTTCAATCATATATTACTGGAAGGAAATAGATAAAAGTCACATATCGGAAACAGCAATAATTGACTACGGTGCGGCCCAAAAGCAGTGTTTTAGGACCTTTGCTGTTCTCAATCTACATGCCGCCTCTGGGATCCATTATCCGTCAGCATGGCGTGAATTTAAGTGTTGTATTTAAATTTGAAAAAGGCCAACACTTTTTATTTCGGGCCAGTGAAACATATCAGCTACTTGCCTGAAGGACAAGTGCCTGCAAAAGTTAATGTCAAGCCCTGTGACTGTTTGTCTGCCATTAGTGAGAGGATGAGCAGACTGATTCCTCCTAGTTGGCCCAAAACATAAGACCGAATGGTAATTAACTCCCATCGTTTGTAAGAACCACTGCAATATGCAATAATTCATTACAAAATGCATTTCAGAATGGAGATAACATGTATAACATTTCATCTAGTTATTACATAATGCGTGGACACAATGTGACTTAATCAAATATTTCACAGCGATATGCTCGTAACCCTCAGAGAGTGTTATAGTGATTTGAGTGTGTGTTATGGCCTTCTGTTAAAGTGGAAGGCCCTTTTTAGGGGGATATTACCCTTTAACATAAATCTCTTCAAATATTACATTAACTTAATTAAAATCTAAGGAAATTGAAAGATGACTAAATGATTAAACTCCTGCCTCACAACTTAATGTGACTCACTCCTGAGCCAAGAGCTTCCTCTGTTTTACTACCTCTTTTATATGATTATATGTGGCTTTACTGGACAACTCAGAGCAGTCGATTACTAGCATTACATGTCCCACATAAAATGTGGTGGTGCAGCATTAGAGTTGAGAGCCACTGATTATATAAACAAATACTATACACACGAGTGGACGGCTTGTTTAATCAGTGAAATCCTTTTTTTAACCCACAAATAAAGAACAAAGAAAAGACAAGCATTTGAATAAAACTGAAATATACCAGCAAGCAGCAGCAAAGTCCCCCTGCAGCTAATGCATCGACAGCTTATGCTCCAATATAAAGGAGACATCCTTTATTACTGTTCTAATAGTGTAATTAAAGGATTATAAAAAAAACAATCACAACAATCCTCAAAGTAACATACCATCAGTGGAGTGCCGGGGGATTTTGGACAGTTTCTGAGGAAGTGCACTTTTGTAATCTTGGAGGAACCGCTTGGTGCCGAGGCCCGAGCCCGTCGTTAAGCTGTCACCAAAACCTCTTCTCTCTGAAAAAACCCCCCAGCACATATGAAGGAAGCAGCCAGATGTTACAGGTAGAGGTGAGAAAGCTAAATATAAGTGGACCTGACTGTATGTTATGTGGTTACATTCTTCTTTTGGTCAAAGAGGCTGAATGGCTAAAGAAAGAAAAAAAATGAAAAAAATACATATTTTTGTATTTTAAATACTACAGGACATATGGAAACATACAGTGAATTTAGTTTGCATCAGAGAATGCTTTGTCATGTATCACGTTTGACCTTAAATCCTTAATAAGTGACCGACTTTAGGAAAATACAACACATCAGCAAAAATACACACTGTAAACTCTACGAAATGGATTTGACAAATGATGAGGTAATCTACAACATTCACGACAAACAGTCATCATGGCATTGAACAGCATATTTCATGCAACTTCTTTTTACTCCACTCCAATAAAGCACCTTGTTGTCAGTACACTTTTACCGAATGGCTGTATAACTGGAAGCCAACAAAAAAGGTATTTCATGTCGGATTTATCTTCCCAGGAAATCCAAACTGTCGGCATGGCACAAGTTATTTGCCTTTTGTACAGCAGTGTAAAACATCCTGTGCAGATACTCAGGGGAGGCACATGGTGCACCTCCCTTGAGGATTTACAAGATTTGTTTTTCAGAAGGTTACTGCCAACATCTCCACATGAGTAAGGTAGAGAAGATTTTCTTATGCTGCTGGGAGTTTGTATCTTCCAAAGAACTCAAAAAATAAACAACACAGTAAAAAGACCACTTCTGGTGCAGAAGATCTACTTTTGGTTTCAAGCATTATATAAAATGCATTAAAACCGACTATTCGATTTGTGTCCATCAATAAGGAGAAAATTCTCTGTCTGTAAATCAAATATGGCATGTGCATTCACCAAATATTTCCACTATGTAGCAGTGCATGTGGAGTCACAGCAGGAGTACAGTAGCACCGACCTGTAGTGTATGTGTGAGTGTCGTAGTGCAGGCCTCCTCTGGCTATAGGCTGGCTGCCAAAAAGAGGATCGCAGTGAAGGTTGTGGCAGAGTTTTTCCAGGAAGCGGAGGACGTAGGTGACACTGCTGACTGTGGGCAGGGTCAGGGTGTGCTGCTGCTTGTCAAAGAAGGCTAGACAAGGAAAAGAGGGGCAAAGGACAGAGGATCAAATTCAGTTCGATATCGTGCACGGCCTTTTCTTTTACGTGGAAAACACGAGTAAAAGAAACGTGTTGTTGAGAGTGAGCTTTATACAAAAGCTATTTAGACCTCACATTTAATGTAACAATTATAACGGAAATGAATTCTCCATATGGTCTGGTAGTTCTTTCACAACAGCACTACATTCTGTTAATTTAACAAAGATGTGATGGCAACAAAAAGCAAAGAAACAAAGCAACAGCTTCGTGAGGACTTTCAACAGAGACAGGAGAGTCATATTTCTGTTTTTATGATGACGGTTTAATCCCCACCTGATATGACTTCGCCTCCTTGCCCAGACTTGAGGCAGGAGAAGACGGTGGCCTGGTTGTGGGCAGAGTCCACACAAGCCTGAACACACTGCTGAAGCACCGAGGAGGCCCGGCCAGGCCCAAAGTGGTCTGGGAGCTTCTGGACACGCCGCTGGTCCAAATGAGGTCCCACCTTGCCGTACTTATTTAGATACACACAAACTAGGGAGGGGAAAGCAACAAGCAGAGAAGTCAATACTGAAGGCTGCGTGACTTATTAGATGGTGAAATTGTTATTGTAATCAAATACAAGGGACCATTATGTCTATTTTAAATATTGTTTGCATGTATAAAATCCTCATTTGTCAGATTTTGTTGCCAACGCGACACAAAAGGCGTGTCTGACAGCGTGACAGATGAACTGAACATCCCAGACAGGTGAACCCATCAATCATAATGTGCACTATGTCCAGGTCTGTTTGTGTACCTGTGGGGGCCTGTAGTGCAGAATTGGGGATGGTGGCGTTGTCCATAGGCACGGTGCTGGTGTCGGGCTCTGGGGTGCTGCTGGTAGGAGACGTGGGGACTGGATTAGGTACCACGCGAGGTTTTCTCTGGATAGAAACACACGCATTCAGACATTTTCACTTTTCTATTGTTTTCTTTTTGTTGTTTTTTACCATCAGTACATATGTGACTCTTATATTGCTCTTTTATATTTGTATCCTTAAAACAAAGTGCCTCACTGTAAATGCAACATGAGTAAAAAAAACGAATATAACAAGCTCATCATTTTTTAACATTACGTAACAACTTGTTTAAGTGAAGAAGGTGAGCGCTGGACAGCACATAGAGCCGACTATTGAAATGATAAGTTATATATTAAGTGTTCTAAAAAATACACCCAATAAGTTCCCTCCTTGTGCAGCCAAATGCTATGATGTGATAACCTGTGGTTCAGTGATGCCTGCGTTAGTGTGTATGTACTGGAAGGCTACCTTGCTACCAGGCTTGGGCCCTCTTTTCTTTGGGATCTTGATAGGTTCTGCCGGAGTCTGGGCTTGCTGCACAGCTATGCTCTGTGCCCAGTTGGCAGGCAGTCTGCCCCTGGTTCGCCCCGGACCCGTCACTGGCCGCCCTGGACCCGCCATGGCGTCTTCCAGCCAGCCAGCTCGCTTCGCCCAGCCCAACTGCTGCAAACCAAGAGCAAAGGAGACAAAGAGTCAAGTGGCCGCAACGCCCGGTTATGAAAAGTGAAGCAAATGCAGAAGTGCCTTCAACTTGCATTCTTTCTAATAACCAGCAGAGGGTGAGTCCTCTGGTTGAAAAAAGAAGTCTGATTGTATGGAAGTCTATGAGAAAGTGACCCTTCTTCTCACTTGATTGTAAACACCACTCTGTGGTTCAACTTCAACATGGTTGGTTTCGTAAATTATCGTCCCATTTAAGGTGAAATAGACAGTAATATACAGTGTATGATTCAGTGCGTGGCTACCGGTCACTACCGTGGCGTTGTCTATCTTTTCGTCTTAAAAATGCATCCTTTATCACAGTGTTTGAGTTCATGAAAGTTAACATTTGTCACAGATATTGCAAAACCTGGGAAAATACAACCCAAACAATCTGCATGGCGAGACATTATTAAAGTATGTGTTTTGTAATTTGGTGAACTGATCCTGCAACTAAAGGCAATGGCGCGTCCCTGATGGTATCTCTAAACCACTTCATGCCTACCTTGCTGCCAGGCTTGGGCCCTCGTTTCTTGGGGATCTTGATGGGCTCCAGGCCTTTGCCCGGCTGGATGCTCTGTGGTCCCAACGCTGAGCCCTTCTGAGTCCAGAGCCCCGTCACCTTGGTTTTCCTGCGGCCTGGCTTCCGTCCTCTCTGACCTGGAGGTCTGCCCACGGTGGGCGTGGGGTGCATGGCTGGGCTCTCCACACTCCCGTCTGTCAACGGCCCAAGGCTCTTAGGCAGCACTACTGCATGGGCAAAGATGGACAGGTACGGCAAAAAAAAAAAAGGGAGTTAAGTAAAATGCTGTGGCATTAGAGCGAAAAAGAAGTAATTAAAAAGGTACAGCTCCAGGCTCCCCATATAAATCACAGAGAACATAGAAATGTAATCATGTTTAAACAGTCCGAGGAGTCATTAAAAAAAAAAAACTTGAGAGTATTAAATCCGAAATCTAGACTTTATTATGTGGTTCTGTGATGTGACTGACGGATGAAACCGATAATGGTACATTCTAAATCAACTACACCACAGATGCACCAACACACAGCAGAATGAGTTGTGTACCTGACTGCACACACATCCAAGAAGCCTTTACTCCGTTGGCTACAATGTCCCTGTTTAACTCTCTTTGCAGTCACACACACACACACACACACACACACACACACACACACACACACACACACACACACACACACACACACACACACACACAACAATGCTTTCTTTGCATGTGGCTCATCAGATATCAGCATTACTCACAGAGGCTATAAACACCTTCCTCAAATGCTGAACAACAAGTTTGGCACCACTTTCACTTCCACAATCTGTCGCATCTAACTTTTCAAAAGTTCAGTTATGTTCAATGCCGAACTAAATCCGGACCGCTCGTAAAACACCTGAGCTTGAGTTTCTCACAGCAGAGAAGGTCAAACATTCTCAGCAGCGAAACATTTCTCCTCCACTTGAACTTCCTTCCTCAGTTACAGATGACAGCACACTACACCTCTCAGACTGTGAAGAGTGCTTCACAGTCGGAGAGAAGAAAAGAGGGCGAGAGGTTACACCGAGAAGGTAGCATGCCCCGGGTTGCTTTAGAAGACTGCTCATTCTGTGTTTTCTTTAACGTGCCAGTGAACTCAAAGGGGTTTAGTCGGCATTTAAATAAGGTCACAGAACTCAGACTCTTTCTCTGATACATGATTTTCTCTTTATGGTATTCAGATGAAGGGAGAGGGCAATAATAGATGCTACAATTAATCATGATACACTGACTTCTCAGGTTTTGAGAATGGAATTTAGTTTGTTAGTCAAAGCACAAGAGAGTGATTTCTAAAAGCCTGAGCAAATACAGCTTAAACATCTACATGGCCAGAAAACACTACAAGTAAGCAAGAACGTATGTATCTCTATGGTGGGTATATATGGTGGACAACAGTTTATCAGTCCAGTATTGTGAAGTCAGACAAACAGGCATTACCAGCATAAACTGGGGATCCATGTCAACCAACAAACGATGAAGATGAAGCAGAGAAAAAGACTGAACTGAAAGATATCGGGTCAGAGGAGAAGGGGAAAAACAGAGCCGTTTAGAAGGAAAGAACAAAAGTAATCAGAGATGATTTTCTTTTAGTCTACCTTGAACTCCCTGCTGGCGAGAATAAAAAGAAGAAATGTGTGAACTCCTTATAAGCCTGAGGAGCAAGCCCTAATAAAGAAATAAGCCGCTGACAGCTGTGAGACGCTCTTAAAATGTAACTACCAAACTCCCACCCCATGAATGCACACCCTTCCTTTGATGACGGGAAACATTTCAGAAATCACATGAACATGTCAAAATCCCTTAGAGCTGGAACTATATTAAATACATTAAAAAAAATAACCAAGTAAGCCATGTACTTCATGGAAGCCAACACAGCTGGCAAAACCTCAAGAATGTGTGCGTGAAAAAACAACCACACTGAAGAAAGAACCACAGTATATCCAGGATATCAAGCCTCACATGCACCTGCAAGTCCACACACACACACACACACACACACACACACACACACACACACACAC